CGGGAGCGCCTGCCACACTTCCCAAGCAGCGCACTGTAGCAGTGCGCCACCGGGCTGGCCCAGTAATGTTCCCTTTCTAACAAAATACCACCAACCGAGGAATTCATTGTAACAGGATTTGATCAACTTGACTTGTGAGGGATAATATCCTTGTTTATAACAAATAAAAAGCAAAACACAGAAGGGAAAAAATCCACTTGAATACTTAATTATTTTTCAGATCATTCATATTCCCCTCTCATGGCATGAAATTGACTCTTGCATTTTTGCTGCCTTCATTTCTCACCTTTTCCATTTTGGTTTTTCTTTTCTTTCTTTCTTTCTTTATTTATTTTTAAAAAGATGACCAGTAAGGGGATCTTAACCCTTGACTTTGTGTTGTCAGCACCACGCTCTCGCAAGTGAGCCATGGGCCGGCCCTCTTTTCCTTTTTCAAAATTAAAAAAAAATTTCTCTACATGTACCCACAGATATACGTATTATGTATGCTTTCATATGAATGGATAACTATGATCATATGGATAATTATGAAGTCTTCTCTTTTATTTTTTGGTTAGATCACACTCCTATCCTCCCTCCTTTCTCCTCTTCCTGCAAAGTTCTTCATATTTACTTTCCTGTGGATGGCCTTTCATATTTTGTGAGCGTATATATCAGAATATATACGCTCACAAACACACGGTCTTTTGTTCTCTGCATTCTGTAGCTTGCTTTTATCACGCAACAATACCTCATGGAATGACTCAAAGCCATCTGAGATAGCTCTAAAACCATCTTTTTACAGGCTGCTTAGTATTTATGGTATAGATACCGTCATTCATTTAGCCACTTCCCTACTCCAGGGCACTGACTTTGATTCCAATCTCCTTTCACTCTGAATAGTGATGCAACAGACAGCCATGAGCATGTGAGCTACTGTTTACTGATGCATATATGTGTGGCCTTCAAAGAGTTCATGGAAAGATTCATATTATCTTTTAATTCTATTTTTCCATGAACTTTTTGAAGTACTCTCCTATGTCTGTGGAATTGATTCCCAGGAGTGAGATGTTTGGGTTGAAGGATCTCATCTCAATTGAGAGAATGACTGAGGTCTCAGAGGGAGGTCTTGGCCACCCGACAGGTAATACCTTATGTGACACTCCTCACCTTCCACTTTCAATTCCATTGCTGCCTCCTCTTGGTAAGAATGATCTCGGAAAAAGCAGGTGAAACCTCCTTCATCTGAGAACCTTACGTTCCGGATCTTGAGGGTCGCCTTTCCCTCACTAATAGTCTCTTTTAGCAGCTCTGTCCGGCCCCGATATTCAGGTGCCTGCTCTCCATCTTGGTCCTTGCCATTTCGGTAGAGATGAACCACCCTAGAGAAGGGCGGGCGGTACCACCCCACCTCCATGCCTGTAGCATTCTTCCCAGGAGATATGCGACATGGCAATTCCACTTCATCCCCGACCAGAGCCCGGATGGGGTGCTTTGGTCCTATCACTCTGAACTGTCCTGTCCAAGACACCAAAGAGAAGAGACAAGATCAGAGGGAGACTTGACAAACAAGCACGTCGTGGAAATAATTGCTTCAAACCAGGGAAGAAAGAAGACACTCGATTTTTAAATGAAATTCTAGATCCAGGGAGGGGTAAAAGTTTTCTTCTTGAGCATGTACCCAAATCGATCCCTGTTCTCCTCTCAGAGGTCTTACTGTTGTCACTCCGTCCACTTAAACTGCCTCTCCACCACTTCTCAGCCCTCTGTCCTTGCTTACACTCTGTTCCCCCAAATTCTCCTCTGAGATCTTCTACCTTGGGAATGGCTCTATTTCATTCTTCTTTCCCTCCATACATTCAACCTCACTGCAGCTCCTAGACCCTGCTCTGACCATGTTCCCAGTCTTTTTCCCATGTGGAATGTGGAAAGATTTCCCCAGGGAGAGTGGATGGACTGGGCCGTCTCTATCAATCAGGTTTCTTTTATTTCTCCTCCGCACATGAAAGCAGGGCTCCCCTATAAAAGCTTATTGGTGTCTGATTATGCAAAGCAAACTCTCAAACATGACAAGACAATATAATTCAACAAACACTATTGAGATTTAGTATGGACAGGCACTGCTAAGCATGTTACATACCTCATCTCATTTAACCTTGACAGCAACTCCAAGAGGTTGTTAGTAGTTTATCTCCATTTGAGAGTTGAAAAACCAAAACTGGAAAGCCAGATAAGAGCTGCTTCAAGGAGAACCTTGAGTTAGAGTCACATTAAAGAGTTTGGATTCTATTCTGATGGCCGTAAGGAGCCACTGAAGGTTTCTGTGAAGGGGAACCATGTCAGCAGACCTAAGTTTTAGAAAGAGAACTCGCATGGCAATTTGAGGACAATTTAAGGAAATGAGCCCTGGGGAACTAGCATTTCTGTTCTGAGTCTGACCCGGGCAAGAATAAACATGTCTTACCTGCATAGCTGGAAGACAGGTGGAGGAGGAGGAAGAGGAGGGAGAGGAAGCAGCTGGGCAGAGAGGAGCTCGATAAACTTGCCATCTCCGCTGTTATTGGGGACAGAGACCCTGCAGAGGGGTCAGGCCAAGCAGAGGCGCTTGGGGTGCATATCCCCTACCACTGAAAAAGCCTGAGGAAGGATCTGGGAGGGCAGTGCTGTCCAGGCCCTGCCTCCACCCTGGCCGCTGCTGCAGCTGTGCCTGCAGGAACAGTCCCACATTGCCCTTGCCAGGCACATACACAAAAGGGCTACAGACCAAGGGGTGACCAGGGTTTGCCTTCCCCACCCCCTCAGAGCCACGGGGCAGTGGCTGCCTGGTACTGGGCCTTGCTCCCCCACTCCCTCCCAGTGATCCAGCCTTTGACTGGGTTTCTAGGGACTGATCAATGAGGACCTCAGGATGAGGCTTGTTCATGGAATCTGTAAAGTTCCTTTAATTGTTGGCTGTTAAAAAAAAAAGAAAGAAAATTTAGATTTGGTTTCCTATTTCTATTGTCTCACAACTGTGATTACCAGACCATCCTTCTTGATGTCTAATCTCCCTCTCTCCTACGGCAAACCCAAACTCCCTTTCTTATGTTCACATATGTGACAGGTTGCTTGGGTTTAGTTAGTTTCTTACCCCTGAAGAATGCATTTAGGGAGGTCATGAGTGGCGCATCAGGAGTCGATGGCCCCCTGTGCTCAGAGAGGAAAGCCTGGAGGAAGGAAGATCGGCAAGGGTGGCAGCATGTCAGTCAACACAGGCCGGCATGCAGGACACGTCCCCAGCCTTGGCATCTTTCTCCGATTTCCTCCAGTGTTACAGGGAGATTAGAGAGGAAAGCCTGGAGGAAGGAAGATCGGCAAGGGTGGCAGCATGTCAGTCAACACAGGCCGGCATGCAGGACACGTCCCCAGCCTTGGCATCTTTCTCCGATTTCCTCCAGTGTTACAGGGAGATTTGGAATGGAAATATGACCTTTTTTCTTACCCATAGACAGGAACTGCAAAGGTGAGACCAGCATTAGCACCAAGTTTCAAAAATATATTTCCCAATCTTATAGCAAGGAATGCTTCACCAAATAAGAAAAAAGGACAAGGATGAACAATTTCGAGCCATGCTGTCCAATACAGTAATCACCAAGCCGCAAGTGGCCATCTAAGTTAAAATTAATTAAAATTAAATAAAATTAAAAATTCAGTGTTTTGATTATACTAGCCATGTTTCAAACGCATAGCACCACAGCTAGTGGTTACCGCATTGGACAGCACCAGTATAGAGCATTTTCATCAACACAAAAATTATATTAGACAACACAAAAAATTAGATTGGGTAGCAAGGAGTAGGAACACGACTGGGATATACATTTCTGCTTTTGTCTGATATGGGCATAAGGGACTAGAAGGACAGATTCTAGTCAGATGAGTCTGGGGCTTTCTTATTCTTTTTCCCTGCAAGGCAGGTAGAGTTTGGGCACATGCAGGGTTTGCTACACTGGAGCAGTGTAAGTGAAAGTCAAGGTTGGAGCAATAAGTCCCACTGGAAAAGGAGCCACTGTGCATCCCTGGCTTTCTCTCAAGTGGTACTTTCCAGAACCTGAGATAGCCTGGGACACTCTTCCTCCATGACACAAATTCAGGTAGGAGAGGTATGCACAAGAGGCTTTCTTGGGCAGGGTTTCAGGGCCAAAGGGCACTGCAGTTGTCCAGCAACAGGCCAGCTGTCAAAAGCTGGATGGGAGATTATGATGGGGGTGGAGGGATGGAGAAACAGAGAGGGTCAGGAGCTGGCCAATCAAGGCCACTTTGGAGAAATCACAGCATTTTTAAAAAACAAAAACAAAAACAAAAGCAAAAAATCAACCTTCTTACTAAATGCTTACATGGACCATGGTTCTAAGTAGTTTACACACATAACTTATTTAATCCTCACATCAGTAAAACAAATGTTAAATTATTACCACCCTTGTTTTATAGAGGTTAAGTAACTTGCTCAAGGTAACACTGATATGGAGTGGCAGAGGTGGGATTTCAAGGCAGGCTTTCTAGCTGCAGAACCGGCACTTGTAACCACAACACGCACGGCCTCTGATGAGCTCCCCTTACTCACCTCCATGCCCTCAACTGCCTCAAGTCTCCTGAAAGAGGTGGGTCCCTGGAGCTGTGGCAAGCAGTCCTGTGGGTGAAATGGTCTTTGGGCAAAGATGATGTACACAAGAGAAAGGGAGGGTCTGCCAACAAAATAAAGCCAATGGTGTTGCCATTTATGAGATTCGGGGTGCAGGAGCATCATCAGGTTTTGCTGGCTGTGGAGCGTGATGTGGATGTCTAAGACGTGAAAACACTCTGTGTTGATCAGAGCTGGTCATTTCTTTCAGCACTTAAATGTCATTTTAATTGATTTTGTGTAACATATGTTACATGATCTGGTGAGTGTTCTCAAGTGCCTTCTTGTGTGACTAATTGCTCTCCTTAACAATTTCAGTTTAATCTGCATCTCTTGTTTTGTATAATAACAGGCCACGTACACAGCTATGTATGCAAAGTGACATATTCTGAATACACTGAATGTGTATGTTAATTAACATGTTGTCCATATGTGAGATAGTAAGAGCTCAATAAATGGTAGCTTACCCACATAGTTACCCAGTAATACTATCCGTAAAAACTTTTCTAGATACGTGTAAAATATATCCTTTTACACTAGTTGTTCATTATCACAAATAATAATAGACACATTGTTCTGCTTCTTGTGTTGTCCACTTCAATGCTCTTGTACTTTTAAAAATTGATTCTTATAAAATAACACACCTTGAAAATATCCCAGCCATTCAAAGCCAACCTTTATTTTCTCTGAAACCTTCCATATATGCAAATAGGCCACTAGAGGGAGCTCCAGGAGAAAGTCACTGCTTGTGAGAACTGAAGATGGCACTGACACGTTCCCCCACCCCTTCTTTTTACATAAATAACAACTTATCATGGAGATCTTTCTTCCTTAGTATCTAAAGAACATCCTCGTTCTTTTATACAGCGACACCATAGTTTATTGCATAAATGTAACATACTTATTTATCTAGTTTTCCAGAACATTTAGGTTGCTTCAATTTTTAAAATATCTATTTTATTATATTGCAACAAAAATGTTTTCAATTAATTTAAATTAACAGATATTTAACAGCAGATGCTATGTGTCAAGCTTTATATTAGGCTCTGAAGACAGACAAGATTCTTGACCTTCGTGAAAGTTATATTCCAGATAAAATGCAGCCATATTCCAGTTATATGTTACCCAAGGGCACGTGTCAGTGAGTATCAGGCCATCATTTTTAACCTCTTCTCTCTTAGATATAATTTAGCAATGAGGCTGGCTGGTTAGCTTAGTAGGTTAAAGCGTGGTTCTGATAATTTGACAATGATTATCGGTGTACTAGGGCCAGCTACATAATTTGAGGGGCTTCTTGTTCAAAAAGCCTTTTCCTTTCCTCTGCAGTTTCACTTTTGACCTGTCAAGGTTGGTTTTTTTTTTTTTTTTTTTTAAAGATGTCCGGTAAGGGGATCTTAACCCTTGACTTGGTGTTGTCAGGACCACGCTCTCCCAAGTGAGCCATGGGTCAGCCCTGAGGTTGGAGGTTTTTTGTTGTTTTTTTAAATTTTGTTTTGTTTTGTTTTTTTGGCGACTGGCCAGTAAGGAGATCCAAATTCTTGACTTTGGTGTTATCAGCCCCACACTCTAACCAAGTGAGCTAACCTGCCAGGCCCTTATTTTTGTTTTTGATTTTGTTATTTAATGTCACACTCTTTCTGGCATGGGGATACTCAAGGAGTGAATGCATGCCTTCACAAGTGCCTGGGGCCCTGTCTCTGCACTTGGCAAGAGTGATGTGTATGCTGACCCCTTCCCTCCTCTTCCCTGCACCCAGGCCCCTGCTGGGAGGGGGCAGCACAGAGGGTGGCAGAGGTGGAGGAGCAGGCAACTGAAAACCAGTCCTCTGGAGGCTGGGAGGTGTGGCGAGCAGGACCAAGCTTGAGCCTAATCTCCAAGCCCCCAGCACATGTTCTATTGTCCCATGGGACCTTACTTAAAAAACACAAATTGAAAGAGAAAATTATTAAGAATTTCAAGACAGTGATCACAGAGCATTAAAACCTAAACACAGTGTCCCCTTCTAAGCAGGGAGCCCTGTACGACTGGTGATCACAGAGCATTAAAACCTAAACACAGTGTCCCCTTCTAAGCAGGGAGCCCTGTACGATTGTGCTAATCACATGCCCATAAAGTTTACTCTGCCTTTATAACATTTCTGTGTTTAAATTGGTCTGGATATTTCACCAGACTCAATGACTGATAGACTGCAAAATGTCTAATTTTTATCCATGTAGCCAAATGCTTCATAGGTCCACTGGAGAAATGAGAATACTGATCTGCATCAATCTGATGCAGCTACTCAGCAAGTGAGGGCTTGCAGCATGTGTGAGCATGTATGTTGTGTGAGGTGGGGAGGAGCTGCTCTTTCATGTTGGTGTATTTATAGAAGTAATACATACAGTGTAGAAAATTAGGAAAAAACAGAGAATAAAAACATCAATGATGTTCTTCCAGAGGTTTAAATTTTATCTATCAACATTTCCCCCCCATTTTTGTATCTTTCCTGTTATTATTTTGAAATTCACCAATACTTTATCTTTCAAAAAGAAAGGCATTTGGCTTGTTCTGAGTCAAGTGAATCAGGCTCTTAGGCTTGCTCCCGCCCCCCCCCCCCCCCCCCCCA